GATGATTTAGACGCCATTATATGCCTATTTTAATTCCTCCTGGCTGAAACCAGCAATGGGACAAAGATTCCTGATAAAACTTTGTGTTTCTTTGCGACTTTAACCAGTCTGTATACATGTTGCCAAGGACATTACTCTTTGGTAAATTTTCGGTTAAAGTAATGTTAATCTCCCCAAAAAGAGTAGGTCACTTTTCATTCACAAGTTTGTTGGGCTGGTCGACTCTTCTGAAATTTATGGGTCTGTTTGCTTTCTGCGTTGTCTTGCATTGAATTTTTTATTCAGAGAAAGAGAATGCCTGTGACATAGGTTGCAGCACTCTCTAGGCTGTTGTGTTAGGGTCAGTTTCTCCATGTTTTTGGAGTGTTAAAAGCGGTGGAGTGTTGAAATATACAACATGCAATATCAAAGGCATTGCGGAACACCCCCGTAACCTTGTACCAAGGTGACAGGTTCAGGAACTACCAATCAGAAGTGAACTAGTGTGTATATAGGCGGAGCGTGGGGAGACTAACGTTATGTACCAAATTTCCTAGTCTTCCTTAACAGGGCGGGTTGGCACGTTGAGTTGTGCCTTACAGACAGGTTGGTTGACCGTTTGACCATACATACCAGGCTTCAGCAAATGCACGGCCAGCTCCAAATATAATATCTGGAGCTGGCCGTGAGCAAACCATTATTAGTTGCCTTCTATGAAATGCTTGTTAAGGGACCATGGGTAAAACACCGTCCCAAGAAAAATAGGCACCAAAACGCAAACAGATAGGAAACTACTTCTGCTAGTGAGCAGTCCTGGTCTTGTTCTTGAGATTAAAACAGATCTGAGGCTATAACAGCCCTTGTTGAGAACTTGCTCTAAGGAGATAACAAACCGAAATGACTGCTGCTCTCTTTGAAGGTATTCACATTTCACAGCTGCTTTTCTTTAAACCACAACAGCCAACATTTGCCGGGGTTGGTTTTGTAAAGGAATCGCAACTAACTTTTTTTAAAATATATTCGTGTAAACGTCTAAAGAAAGAGAGACAGAATGAAAGAGAGAATGAAAGAGAGAAAGAAAGAAAGAAAGAAAGAAAGAAAGAAAGAAAGAAAGAAAGAAAGAAAGAAAGAAAGAAAGAAAGAAAGAAAGAAAGAAAGAAAGAAAGAAAGAAAGAAAGAAAGAAAGAAAGAAAGAAAGAAAGAAAGAAAGAAAGAAAGAAAATTAACAAAGAAAAGGGGGAGGGGAGGATGTGGGAAAAAACCTGAATGTTCTCAACAGACCCTATAGAGGCGATGAAGACACTGATATATGTTTGTGGCTGGGGAGGGGGGGGCAGTGAAAATAAATGTATTTTGTGTTTTAACTAATAATAAAAACTTAGATATCTTTGCTATTCAACACGTGTCAGAAGACAGTAAGATTCCAGCTATAAACCTCACCTCCTGAGACTTGCAAGTGAAAGTGGCTGTAAGAGGAATGTGCTATAAATGCCTCTATATTCTCGGCCTCCATTATGCCAGCTCACACATCTCACGAGTGATTAGCTTCTTTTGGCAAGCTCTTGCCCCTACAGACAACCAGTTTTTCGTAACTATGTGAACTAATCTCACCAGTGTGGTATTTCCGTGATGACTAATGACAAAAATATATTCAATACACATCCTCACTTCTCCACTTCACAATATACGTTTGGTACCGCGTGAGAGATCACACATTCGTGTGTAACTATGTGTGTGTGTGTTTATGGGGGGGGGGGGGGGGGGTGGTAAACTCAAATGTACACATGTTTGTGAGGGTATGTACGCAGACGTGTAAGCAGGTGGGTATATAACGTAGTGTGTGTGTGTATATATATATATATATATATATATATATATATATATATATATATATATATATATATATATATATTAGTAAAAACAGACGATGTATTGATTGGCACTTACAGAAAGAAACAGAAATACTGAAGTATGTGTGTGTGTCGGCATGTTTTTGTGCGCGTGTGTATATTTCTATTACATATGAAAACGTGCATGTATGAGTATAAGACAGGTCAGAAAAACAACACACTGTCGAGAAAGGTCAACAACAAACTTGTGATAGTGATTCGCAAGAATCCATCTTATGGTTAGAAAACACCTTGTGTTGAGGTATATCAGAAACACCTTGTGTTGAGGTATATCAGAAACACCTTGTGTTGAGGTATATCAGAAACACCTTGTGTTGAGGTATATCAGAAACACCTTGTGTTGAGGTATATCAGAAACACCTTGTGTTTAGGTATATCAGAAACACCTTGTGTTGAGGTATATCAGAAACACCTTGTGTTGAGGTATATCAGAAACACCTTGTGTTGAGGTATATCAGAAACACCTTGTGTTGAGGTATATCAGAAAGACCCTGTGGTTGAGACAGGTTTACAAACGAAAGTGCGGTTGATATACGCCAAAATCAACTTGCAGTTGCGAAAAATTAGAAACCAACTCGTGGTTGAGAAAACTCTTTACGGTTGAGACAAGTTACAAAACACGCTGTGACTGGGGATAAGCATAAAATAAAATGTATTCAAGACATTTGAGAAACCAAACTGTTGTTGAAATAAATTACAAACCTTCTTGTGGTTTCTGTGACCAGTCACTCCTGTTTACAGTAAAAAGTTTGTTGGGCATCCTTTACAGGACCTTGCAGAACCAATTCCATAATAATCTTTTTTTGGGGGGTCTGTTGTGTTTTTTAAAGACAAATTTTAAGTTCAGTAGTTTGCCACTGCACTGAACTGTCGACTCTCGATACCAGTGTCTAAACCAAAGCAAGACGGTCCGTTGCCAAATCGCCTGCAGCTGGGATTGAACCCGGCAACACGGTATAACAAAGCGCGTTCCCAACGCTTAAACCAGACACCGCCCATGTCATAGATTATATCTGAAATACAATATAGTTATTTTGTATATAAAGGATCCCGTAGCAAATTACACCCTCACAGCAGTGGCCATCATTAGGACAGCCTCCTCTATCTTTCAGATTAGTTCAGTTTAAAAAAAAAAAATCTAAAGCCACAAGCAACTGTGCAGACCTAACATGACAAAATGCAGAATTCCAGTTCTCCGGTTACCATCTGAAAGATTCCTGTATGTTTCATATCGCCCTATCTGGTAAAATGTCCCATTCCAATAACAGTCAAATGGAATGTGAAATATTGCCGATGTATTTTTAACTGTAATAGATAGCTTTTTTTTTTTTAGCAAGAGAGATAGGAGCAAGACAAAAGCCAGGTATTCTACATTAGCGGTTCTAAAACTTGGTACCGTGCTAGCCCTGTATACTCTCAAACACGTGTTAAAGGAGAACAAAGCTGCTGATGTTGACGGCACACAATCAGCGGTTTTATAGGTCAAGTAGCCGTCAGCGTGGGTAATTTAGGGGTTATGAACGCAGTTTTATAATACAGATATACCGGTTGCGATGCAGGCAATTAGGCAGCAGACCTTTTTGCATTGACTGCAACAACGGTACAAATGTTGACGTTTCCAGTAAAAAGCAGACTAATAACTTGAAATTCCAGGTGGAACCACACATCAATTATTAAATATTGTGGTTGGTTTGTTGAATTTTGTCAAGGATTATGTCTTTCTTCAAAGACTACCCATAGTTGGCATCTTCAAAAGGTCCAACGCCGCCTAGACATCAGGACCAAATTTATTAAATAAATTGTATTTAACTATTCTGGTACAGTATTAACACGAACTCGCTTAGGGCAACACTCAGTTAACATAAACCAAGTAGTCCCAGAAGGGATGTATTATTTACAATGTCAATACATCTATTAGTCCATAGCACAGCAGGGGTGTATTATTTACAATACATCTATTAGTCCATGGTTACCAAGGATTTTTTAACACGCGACTTTTTGTGTGGTTTTGTTGGGTGGGGGTGGGGTCCCTAGGAATTCGTGTTAATGTGGTTTTCTATCCTAAGTGATAAGACAGCTATGCTTACACAAACACACACATATCGACTTCAAATGTATATTTTTGCGCCTACTACAGACATCTTATTCCCGATTAAACGTTTGCTGGAATGAAGACTGCAGCCTTATTGGAGCAGCATGTGAATGATCTTAGAATGAAGAGAAGAGTAGGCTTACTTACCTTTTATTAACTCTTTCAGTACCGAGCAAGCGGGTCTTCAATTGTTTCACTCTTAAAGATTTAGTGTCCAAAGTAATAAAGGTATGGCTGTGTTACTCTTTCGTGTACACCATTATACGATCAAGAAGTTGAAGCAACAAATGTGAAAGGCTATTTAATAATATAACTGGAAAGGCGCCACAGATTTATAAAACCATCTCATGTACTGGATCCCTAATAAACGGACGGTGAGTTGCTTCTCACCAAAAAAGTTTAAATATGATGGCTATCCTCCGTAAACGGTCCCAAATTATCGAGGCCGAAAATATACCCCAACAGGGCCTCAGTCACATGTAAATTGTGGACCTCTTCCGGCGACTACACAGCATACAGTGAAAAAGCTCCCGCCAAGTTAAAGTCACTGCCGAGAGTATCTTCCGCGCCGTTACGCGCGGCGCGGAGCAGAGCAGGGCTAAACTAGATGGCAGGGAATCACGAGCAGCAGCTACCGCATCTCATGCAGCTTCCTCCTCTTTTTTTTTTTTTTTTTGCTCGTGAGTCCCAGCTATCTAGTTAAGATACTCTAGGCGTTATGCTGTGTACTCGCCGGAAGAGGTTTGCAATTCAAATGTGACTATGGCCCTGTTTGGGTATATTTTCGGACTCGATAATTTGGGACCGTTATTCGGAGGATAGCCAATATGATATTATAAGAAGAAAGAAAGTATTTCCTCTGCAGGCTACACGCAAGTATAGTAACATAAACACAGGAGGGGTAGACAAAAGTATAGTAACATAAACACAGGAGCGGTAGACACAAGTATAGTAACATAAACACAGAAGCGGTAGAACAAAGTAATCTACACCGACAACACGATAAAACAAACACTTACCTCATCACGCAGAGTTAGGTAGGTAAGAGTTTCCATAATCTTCTCTCTGGCCGGCGCCGAATCAATGGCAGCGGCGGTTTCCACATGACCCAGATTGTTAAGAGCATTGAGACTAGAAGCCACTAGTGTCAGCGGTCCATAAACATCGTCCCTGGCGCCCTCGTACACTGAGTCACGTGCTTGTTGATAGAGTCTCTTGCTCTCCAGTCTGCCAGATGATTTAATCAGAATACAATAAAATTAGCTTGGTTTAGACATGCCTCACTAGTAGTAATTTAAACAGAATGCAGATTACTGTAGAATACATCTTCACGTAAGTACGAAAGACATAATCTAACAATGCTACTTGTACACAAACTCTAACTTAACATTATTATTCGGTGGCAAGTAATATCTTGAAATTTGCTCTCGTCAAAACCTCTCGAACCGTAGCCAATTCCCCCGTCTCATACATTTTCATCATTAACTTATTCAGTACCAAGCAACTTACAATGTGTTTATGAGTTTAACTTGTAGTGCGCTCTCAAGTAACTCAGCTTATCCCAGCTGTTACTTGAATTCTGTGGTTCCATCAGGGTAATATGAACATCTACACAATTTTAGACCCAGGCCCCTAATTTAGACAATAAATCCTTAGGATAGAAAGAGTTTTAAAAAAAAAGTCATATGGTGCCACAGATCTGTCCAGTAAATACAACGTCTTACTTTTCCTTATATATTTTTCAGCCACTCACTCTGACAGCCGCTTTTGCTCGTAATACGTTTCTTTGAAATGGATCGAACGTAATAGATTCCCAGTGACTGCCACACTCCGCAAATATTACCTCATTGCTGAAGGTTTCTCTCGAGCCAGGGCAAAAATCGGCCTTTGCCTTTAATATACTGCCAAGAAAAGCCACTTTGCGTCTTGTCACTCTACATTATTCGCAACATACAAAAGCAGCCTATACATAGTATAAAAACTACATGTGCAGCTTGTTGTCTGTTTGCTCTACAACAACAACGAAGGGAACAACAGAACATGGGGACAACTAGTGGTAAATGTGCGTTTAATTCTCGTTCAAACCTCAAACCTCAGCAAAGGAAGTGCTGTACATGTGACACTTTGGGCTACGAAACCAACAAGGAAGGCTAACCCGATGAAATCGGATATGTAGACCGAAAGGCGCAAATATCGCAGCTATGTTGTAAACAGGCTCAATGCAATTACGTCACTCGAAGAAAAAGAAATATTAAACACTCTTCGAAAATAAGTAGACAGTGCTTGCCGTGCTCCAGCCAACAATCAGTCTTTTACAGCTATGTTTTACAAGAGAACTTACATTTGTCAGTTAGAGTGGGGGTTGGATACAATGCAACTCCCCATTCTGGGCAGCCTTCGTGATAAGGGTAGGGTATACAGTGTACTGGGAAAGACCATTGAAAAGCGGGGCAGTGAATGTTCCGGCGAAGACAAGCCTTGCCTAACGAAACGGGAGTAAATCACGGCTTCAGCCTTCACTTGTACCACCGGGATGTTTATGCCCAGACACACATCGCTCAGCATTATCCCCACAGCGACCCTCGTAAATTATCTCGTTCAAAGTCTCTAGTGAACGGGCGATTTCCCCAGACAAAGGCACGTTGTTCAACCAAACAATGGGGAGATCAAAGCTTGCCACGGAAGGTTCTTTCCTGGCGCCACATAATCAAAATCTCATAAGCCACGCCGCAGGAAGACCGGATTGTTTTATTGTGGGGAACTACATACAGCAACATACACCTGCAATAGGCTACTTTTATTTAACAGATAGGCGAGTTGTATGGAGGTCGTATTACGACTTTCCGTGCCAGGCTATCGTTAACAATTCACGGTGCCATACTATGTCGCCAAACAATGAGCCCAAAGACGGTAAGATATTTCCCATGCAGGCAATAAGGATTTAGAAAGTACTAGAATAATAGTGTTAGATGTGCTGATACGGGAACACCAAACAGCCAGAAACTAGCATGAACAAAAAGCACACTATATGGTGTCTACAACACTAAAAGATATCTAAAAAAACAAAAAAAAACTACTGGCACATCTAAAGGGAATACACAATTATATTTATGTCGATAACAGAAGTGTAATTTAAAGGTGAAACAATCACAGTAGATTTCTGACTGTCAAAAGTAAAGGTAAAGGTAAAATCGGGAGATGTGAGTCAGCGTCATTGCAAACGGTTATGAACCATAAGTGCTCTGACACCAGTAGGGGCAGCTGATAAGAAACTGTCCGCCTGTGTCGCAGTCCGCACGTAACCCCGTAGCTATAGCTACGTTCCTCCGTTTACCACAGTGTTAACTCTGGTACCCCTTTCCTAGAGGCTCGGTGAACCCCAGGAACCGTCCGGTTTCGAACACCGGCCGTGGGCTGAAGCGAGTCACAGCTGGATTTTAAAGCGAGTCTCCTATCGACTGTCATAAGTGGTTCCCCCGACGAACATTTAGGCGTCATAATATACTTTACATTCTCCGAGGTTGGAGGAGAGTCTTGACCGGGTCATGACTCCTAGGTACATTTATTCTTGCCTGCATCCGCACCCTCTAAACCTGTTTCAAGATGCATTCGTTCACCGCTGATTGCAATCCTGCCACTTATCCGTCACTGTTTACATGAGAGTTCAACTAAAGGTAGGATCATGTTCGGCAGCCGCTGTGGTCAAGTGTCTGAATCTCCACTAATCCTAGACTCTAAATTTGACCAAGTCTTTAAATGGGCATAACACAGAAACTCGATTTGTTTAGCAATAGTGTAGCAGGAACAGTTATAATGTGACCTCTATTCAACTCATCTATCTGTATCTTTTTTTAGCAATAGTGTAGCAGGAACAGTTATAATGTGACCTCTATTCAACTCATCTATCTGTATCTTTTTTTAGCAATAGTGTAGCAGGAACAGTTATAATGTGACCTCTATTCAACTTATCTATCTGTATCTTTTTTTAGCAATAGTGTAGCAGGAACAGTTATAATGTGACCTCTATTCAACTCATCTATCTGTATCTTTTTTTAGCAATAGTGTAGCAGGAACAGTTATAATGTGACCTCTATTCAACTCATCTATCTGTATCTTTGTTTAGCAATAGTGTAGCAGGAACAGTTATAATGGGACCTCTATTCAACTCATCTATCTGTATCTTTTAAATGTCGGCGTCTGTGGTTTAGGTGGTGTTCATCAGCGACCGGGTTGCCCATTGGCTAGCCGCTAGACGACTTCGTCGTAGGTCGGGACAGTATTTGGGTCTGTCTTCTTTGAGCGCATTACATTGCAACAGTCCTCTTCATAGCTTTTGGTAGCCTGCAATAATGATAGGCCAATTTTATATGGCGCACATAACCTAGTCACATTTATAACCTTAAGCTCTCCCCATTTGCGACAATTGTTTTCAGTAAAGCATCACACATAAAAAAAAGGCTTAGGTGTTGCGAACGCGCTTCGTAATGCCGGGGTACAGGGCTCGATCCAACTGCAGGCGATCTGGTAGCAGACCGTCTTGCGTTGCTTTCGAGTGTGATGTCGAGAGCCGACAGTGGCAATGGCAAATTAATGAACGTAACATTTGCCAAGAAAAACCACAGACGCCAAAAAATGATGGGGTTGGTTCTGCAACTTCCTGTAAAAATACCCAACGAATGTTTCTTTTTTCTTTCTAATCAATCTGCCAGAAAAAAAAAGGCAGCGGATGTAAACTGATGCAACGAGTAGCAGCCAGTCTAAACAATATTAGCAATAAAACGACTTATAGCGTGAATAGAGATTTTTTTACATGTTATTAAAATAATTTTCAGTATTCAAGTATTTAGACCATTTGCATGAGATCGTTCTCACACTAATCTGAAAGACTACTCTGCTCGCTTCTCTGGCCCATGAGTCTTCATATATATTGTGTATTTCATGTCTTCTGTTTACCTTACCGAAGCTCGAATCCTGCCTTTGTCTTCAGGGCCCAAGGCGTTCACTGCTTGATTTTAATGATGATGACGATGTACTTCTTCGTCTCCTCCTCTTCGCGTTCACTGACTGTTAACTCCAGCGGGAAGCTCCTACAACATGTTTGTTGGTGGGCGGGTGGGGAAAGCAATGGGTCTATTCCCTCCCCCCCCCCCCCCTCACATCCCCTATTTCCCATGTGGAGCATCAGAATCTATACACAGGGAGAGTAAAGTAGCTACACCAATACTCTTTAACATATCGGCAGCGTTATGTCATTATTTTTTTTTACTGTGTTCTTCGCACATACAATCCACAAAGCGGGCTGACATTGGTATGCAGTATCAGGTCGTAATCGATAATGGGGATTCTGGTTACCACAAGAGAGCTGCGCTTACACTGTACACGTGACTACACACTACTGCTATGTGCCCTTGTAGCTGACATTAGGTATCCATTGCTCGCTTTCGCTATATCTCGTCAGGTGCATACTACAGTAACAAGTGAATTACGCAGCCATGCCTGTTATGAGATTTAAAACCACCATGATTCCTACGCCACCTGTAAAAGAACCAGTGTCGACGTAGGCCAGATCTAACTGTATCTCCAAATTTAAATGCACATGTAACGCTGCATATGTGGGCAGAACTGATCGACGACTGGAATAACGGATTGCTGAACATATGCTACTATGGGTGGTAAAAGCAATGCAGAACACTAACACCTCAGCAACAACGAATCAGGTGACTGGTCGAAAAATACATCATCAGCAATTGCGTGCCATATTCTAAATTCCGGGCACATCATTAACAGGGATGATGCATTTCGAATTATTTACAATTCGGCCAACCGTAGATTACTCCGATACGCGGAAGCTTCCGCGATCAGCCGGTTGAAACCAGATCTCTGCAGGCAGAAAGAAATGGTCGTTTCCTTAAGGTTACCTTAGTGAAACAGACAGTGTAGAATGTACTCGAATTTGTGTTTCAGTTTCTAGGATTCAGCTATTTGCTTCATTTTAATTCACTTTTAGTTTTGTTTTTGCAATCTCCAACCGCCAATCTGGTGTACATCAACCAGACATGTATATCTAGCCCTTTTGGGCACTTTGCTGATAATTGTTGGTAATAAAAATTCGTGGTGACAATGCAGTCTAGACCAGACCGCTCAAGGCGATCTCGAATGTAGCCAATTTCTATTGTGAAGAACAATTTTTTTTTCTTCAAATTACCGGCATCCCTGGCATTTCCCCC